CCCCTTTTTTTTCGCCACTCTTCCTGGGCCACTTTAGGTCTCCCCACACATGCTGGGTGTTCCCCTTTTTTGAATAGGGGTTTTCTGGCAGATTTTCGGGGCCCCCAAACTCTGCAGGCCCTAATCTGCCATGGGCCCCTATACCGCCTCCTCATGCTGCTGCCGGTCCGAGTTCTCTGGGGGCCCCCTTTCGGCCTCCCTTGCGCTGTCTCCATCGCCACACTTTTGCCATGTGCCACTTTCAGGTTCCCCCAAAATGCTGGTGTGTTCCATTTTTTGACCATAGGGTGCTGGCGATTACGGGCCTCACCATAGCTGCTTGCCAGGCCCCTAATCTGCCATGGGCCCACTATTGCGGCCTCCTTCAATGCTGACTGCCAGGTAAAGTAGTGTCTTCATCTGGGTACCTGTACGGCCTCCCATTGCTGCTGTCTCCATCGCCAACCACTCTGCCATGTGCTCCACTTTTCAGGTCTCCCTCACACACTGCTGGTGTGTTTCAATTTTTTTGTTCATAGGGGGTGCTGGCAGATTACGGGCCTCCAATAGCTGCTGCCAGGCCCCCTAATCTGCCTGGGCCCCTATAGCGCCTCCTCATGCTGCTGCCAGGTTTTCCTGAGTGTCTCATGGGTCCCTGTCGGCCTCCATTTGCTGCTGTCTCATCGCCAAGCCATGCTGCCACTTTCGGGTCCTCACAGTGTCTCATATGCCAGATTGTGCCACTTTGCCAGGTCTCCTGGGCCCTGAAAACTCACTGCTGGTGTGTTCCATTTTTTGTCTCCTCACCACACTGCTGGTGTGATTCACATTTTTGTCATAGGGTGCTGGCAGATTACGGGCCTCCCATAGCTGCTGCCAGGCCCCTAATCTGCCATGGGCCCCTATACGGCCTCCTCATGCTGCTGCGAAGTCCAGAGTAGTCTCTCATGGCGTCCCTGTACGGCCTCCCATTGCTGCTGTCTCCATCGCCACACTCTGCCATGTGCCACTTTCAGGTCTCCTCACACACTGCTGGTGTGTTCATTTTTTGTCATAGGGTGCTGGCAGATTACGGGCCTCCCATAGCTTGCTGCCAGGCCCCTAATTTGCCATGGGCCCCTGTACCGCTCCTCATGCTGCTGCCAGGTCCTCAGTGTCTCATGCCATGTGCCACTTTCAGGTCTCCTCACACTGCCTGGTGTGCTTTGAATTTTTTGACATAGGGGGCTGGCAGATTACGGGCCTCCCATAGCTGCTGCCAGGCCCCTAATCTGCCATGGGACCCCCTATACCGCCTCCTCATGCTGCTGCCAGTAGGCCTTCCAGAGTCTGTCATGGGTCCCCCTGTACGGCCTCCCATTGCTGCTGTCTCCATCGCCACACTCTGCCATGTGCCACTTTCAGGTCTCCCTCACACTGCTGGTGTGTTGAATTTTTTTACATAGGGTGCTGGCAGATTACGGGCCTCCCATAGCTGCTGCCAGGCCCTTAATCTGCATGGGCCCCTATACCGCCTCCTCATACTGCTGCCAAGTCCAGAGTCTGTCATGGGTCCCTGTACGGCCTCCCATTGCTGCTGTCTCCATCGCCACACTCTGCCATGTGCCATCTTTCAGGTCTCCTCACACTGCTGGTAGTGTGTTGAATTTTTTTGACATTGGGTGCTGGCAGATTACGGGCCTCCCCATAGCTGCTGTCCCAGGAAACCCCCCTCATATGCCATGGGCCCCTGTACCGCAGTACCCCCGCCTCCTCATGCTGCTGCCAGGTCCACAGTGTCTCATGCCATGTGCACACTTTCAGGTGTCTCCTCACACTGCTGGTGTGTTCAATTTTTTGACATAGGGTGCTGGCAGATTACGGGCCTCCTATAGCTGCTGCAGGCCCCTATATCTGCCATGGGTCCCCTTTTACCGCCTCCTCATGCTGCTGACTGCCAGGTCCAGAGTCTCTCATGCGGTCCACTGTACGGCCTCCCATTGCTGCTGTCTCCAATCGCCACACTCTGCCATGGTGCCACTTTCAGGTCTCCTCACACACTGCTGGTGTGTTGAATTTTTTTGACATAGGGTGCTGGCAGATTACGGGCCTCCCATTGCTGCTGCCAGGCCCGTAATCTGCCAAATGGGCCCCCGTACCGACTCCTCATGCTGTGACTTGTTGCAACAAGGTTGGAATTCAACCCTAAATATTTAGACCGCCTTTACGAACAGCAAAAGGCCATCACAGATTTCCTGATGTTAAAAAAGCGGATAAAGGTACTCCCCTGTGTAACGTTAGATGTCAGCCATTGGCAGCTCATGCGTGACACCTGCGCTTGCTCAGGCCCTTTGAGGAGGCCACGGTATTCGTGAGTCGGCAGGACATGGGATGAACGACGTCATTCCTCTGTTTGCACGTCCTGGAACAAAATGCTGTTAACAATGGCTGGTCAGGGTGCGGTAGACGTGGCGCACAGATCTCAACGCCACATGACCCTGTGGGTGGCAGGACAGGAAGACAGAGGAGGAGGTAGAGGAAGGACATTGGTGCTCAGGAAATTATTGAGTGCAAATGGGTGGTGCGGTTTTTCCACTCAGCGGACAGGAGTGGAGGAAAGCAGGAGCATCTGGTAGAGGAGGAGGAAGAGGAGACAGAGGACCCAGACGCACCGTGGCAGTATGCTGTGGAGATGGAGGCAGGGAGTCCCTCGCATTCCTTGGCACAAATGGCCCATGTTAGCATGCTCGCTTGCTTGCGTACCGACAGCCGAATAATAACCATCAGACAGGAGGGATGACTTTTGGCATGTCCACCTTGTTGGAGGGCCCTCGCTTACCGTTCAAAAATGGTGGCCCTTTTTCACACCTGCTGAGAGGGAAGGCCAAAATAACATACTATAAAAACCGACCTATGTAGTCAGCTGGTCTCTGCCTGTCTGCGCCCAGCAAACGTCCATCCTCAGACACTGTGGGCCCTGTGCGCTCGCGTTCCTGCTGCCATGGCAGCAGGGGAGGGGTGGGGTGGGTTTAGGAGCAGTGGCAGCTCCACCAGCAGCAGCTGCCTCAGTCTGCAGTCGATGATGAGTAGCTTTCTTCACCTCAGCGCAGTGAGGAAAACTACTAACCAGCCGCAGTACTCAGCAGCAGGGTGGACCCTGGAGCAGGACCTCAAACAACAGGCTTAGGCCTACTTGGACAGCACCCTGCCCCGAGGTAGACAATCCCCTTGACTAATGGGCAACGAAAAACTTGACCTTTGGTCCCCAACTAGCTGAATTTGCCCTTGAAAGGCTGTCATCATGCCCGGCCAGTAGCGTGGCATCGGAGCGCGTGTTTAGTGCGGCAGGAGGTATTGCAACTCCGCGGAGGGACACGGACTGTCCACCCAAAGTGTGGAGAGACTCACGTTTGTGAAAATGAATCAGGCGTGGATTAGTCTGGATTTCAAACCACAGTTCCTGACACTAAACTGACTAAATTCCGCCATGAATCATGCCCCAAACATGTGCCACTTTCAGGTCTCCTCACACTGCTGGTGTGTTCCATTTTTTTTGTCATAGGGTGCTGGCAGATTACGGGGCCCTCCCATAGCTGCTGCCAGGCCCCTAATCTGCCATGGGCCCCTATTATACCGCCTCCTCATGCTGCTGCCAAGTCCAGAGTCCTGTCATGGGTCCTTGTACGGCCTCCATTGCTGCTGTCTCCATCGCTAAACTCTGCCCCATGTGCCACTTTCAGGTCTCCTCACACTGCTGGTGGGTTCCATTTTTTGTCATAGGGTGCTGGCAGATTCACGGGCCTCCCATAGCTGCTGCCAGGCCCCTAATCTGCCATGGGCCCCTATACCGCCTCCTCATGCTGCTGCCAGGTCCAGAGTCTCTCATGGGTCCCTGTACGGCCTCCCATTGCTGCTGTCTCCATCGCCACACACTCTGCCATGTGCCACTTTTCAGGTCTCCTCACACTGCTGGTGGGTTTCCATTTTTTGTCATAGGGTGCTGGCAGATTACGGGCCCTCCCATAGCTGCTGCCAGGCCCCTAATCTGCCATGGGCCCCCGTACCGACTCCTCATGCTGCTGCCAGGCCCGTAATCTGTCATGGGCCCCTGTTGTCGCTTGTTGGCATATTCCGCTCGTTCAGATGCTCCTTCTCCTGCTACTCCTCTTCACGGATTCCGTCAGCAGTCTTTCTTGGAATCCGTTTCCAAGAGACAACAGTTTGCGAGCACGCACCCGACGGTGCAGAAGCTGAACGTCCTCCTGTCCAAGTTGCTGCTGCCAGGCTCGTAATCTGTCATGCGCCCCTGTACCGCCTCCTCATGCTGCTGCCAGGTCCAGAGTGTGGTCATGGGTCCCTGTACGGCCTCCCATTGCTGCTGCCAGGCCTGTAATCTGCCATGGGCCCCCGTACCAACTCCTCATGCTGCTGCCAGGCCCGTAATCTGTCATGGGCCCCTGTACCGCCTCCTCATGCTGCTTCCAGGTCCAGAGTGTGTCATGGGTCCTGTACGGCCTCCCATTGCTGCTGTCTCCATCGCCACACTCTGCCATGTGCCACTTTCAGGTCTCCTCACACTGCTGGTGGTTTCCATTTTTGTCATAGGGTGCTGTATGGCCTCCCATTGCTGCTGCCTCCACCGCCACACTGAAGTGTGTGGTGATTCTAAGATCGACGGCACTCATCTGCATGTCATACTGACTGTCAGTATTATTTCTCTTCCCAGCAGACTCCAAGGGCATTTAAATTAAAGGTACAGTGTTCTGCACTAATATAAAGTCTCTCTGAAGCCTAGAAACACCCTTTTATAAGTTAAATTCGCAGCGAATATATTCGACTCGAATCGAAATTTTCCACAAATTCGCCGAATCAGTCGAATCGAATTTTTGAATACTTTGCTCATCTCTAAAAACTACCCTTGTGCTGAGTGTATTTTTCATTAAAAGGGAAACTATAATGGTTTTGGGTCAATTTCATTGTAAATAACCACTGCTTCCCAGAGCACTATGTGTAAGCTAAATAAGCCAAAAAAATGTACATCTGACTGGCCTGCCTCTGGCTAATATAAGGCTGTCTACTGAAGCAGGAGATGTTCATGAGACTGCCTCATAGAAGTCTATGGGGGTCAAACAGTGCATGCACAGACAGCAAGACGTAGATTCAAACTTGTCTGATGCAGATGTTTTTGGTGGGTCTCTGCTGCAAAACCTGAAAAGCATGCAGTTCAGTTGGGGAAGGATGGGTATTTAAACTGTAACTTTACCTTAGAGTTTAAGCTCCACTCATCCTCCCTCTCAACCCCCCTCCCCCACTCCACTCTGTAACATTGTTTTTTTTTTGTTCTGGGAGCGTGTACCTTTTACCAACAGGCACCAACTGCCACTTCCATATCTCTTGCCTAAGTGAGAATTTCTACGTTTGGCTCACCCCCTCCTTGCAACCTCCTGGGACATCAGTTCTTATTACTGTGTGCCCGCAGCCGGATGCTTCTGTCCACCAACAACCGCTGTTAGGGAGA